ACCGCTCTTTCTGGTCTGAAATCACTGGGCCCTGTCCAATGCGATCGTTTTGTCTTTACTCCTACAGGTACAGTATATGGAACTCATGGGAGACGAGGGAGGCAAACTTACACCAGATACCAAACGCTAGAGTTAGAGAAGGAATTTCATTTTAACAGATACTTAACCCGAAGACGACGTATTGAGATTGCAAACGCTCTCTGCCTTACTGAACGCCAGATTAAAATATGGTTTCAAAACAGGCGGATGAAATGGAAAAAGGAAAACAAATTCATAAATTCCACACAGCCCAGCAGCGAAGAAACAGAGGAAAAGTCAGGGGAGTAGAACCACGTTTAATAAACGCTACCAGGCCTTTCCTTAGCGCTTACTATTACTATTATTATTTAGCTTGTGTTCCTTCTGCTACTAAAATCCTATAGGTTTGTCACAGTCTATTAATTCCCAAAAGGCTTGGTTAAAAGATGTACATTTGCAATCATCTGTGACTTTCTTTAATATACGTGGAAGTCCGAGCTTTCGAGCTACAGGCATGTTTGTATATAACCACCTTCCCAAAGCGAAGGTGGCATTGCTTAAACTACTAGAAAAATGGCCCAGATTTTTAAATATTTGAGGTGAGCATTTGTGTGTGGGTGAGTGTCCCTGGCGTGCCTGCTTGAGAAGAGAAAAGCGAGTAATTTTTTTTTTTTTTTTCAATTAGAAATGTTCATATGGTAGAAATACGAGAGATTTTAGAAAATCTTGAGGTTATGTTTTTGCTAACTCCCGCTATGTCGGGCTGTCTCGTTATGCTGTGTTTGGGAGCTTAAGGTCTGCAGGGGAGACAAAAAAGTTTTACGCGTGTATAAGATATTTAAATAGCAAAAAGAAGGAAAACCCTTTAAAAAAATCGTTGTATAAAAGGCTGGGTATAAACTTGCAGTTAAAGCGAAGATGAATTGCAGGGAGATTTTTAAAATGCCGCTAAACTGCCTAATCTGCACTACTAGTATTAAAGTAAAAACTCGCCGTTAAACTTCAGGGGAAGCGAGGGAAGAGGTTTTGAGGCGGGCGAATTTCTGTGGTTCCCGTTGAGCTTACACTGAGGTTTCGGTGAGCTCAGCTCTACACTGAAGGGGCTTTGAATTATGGACTACATTTCTTGGGGCTTCGTGGGCTTGGGTCGATCTTTCTTTTTTTTTTTTTTAATAATTTTATTAAAAGAAAAGTGTCTGACATATTAACTCGGGGATCTTCTTCCCCGCTTTTGTGGTATCTTAATTCACATTCGCATTTCTTAGCACTGGAAAAAATAAATAGATACTCTAAAGAAAAATAGCTGCCATAAAATGCTTCCACTTCGAGTTATATATAAGTAAAATATGCGCAGCGAAAATATTGATTAATATATACGTTATATCTCTACATGTTGTATTGTGTGTGCGTGAGTGTGCGTGTGAAGCTGTGTACAAATACACTTGTATGCGCATCAAGGCTCTTTTGTTTGGAAGGCAGCGCTATTTGGGCTACCGCTCTAAATATTTTAAAAGCCAAATCTGGAAAATACTAATGCAAAATGGCTACCGCCGCATTTAAAGGTTGGGGGTTTTTCTGGTTGTTTGATTTTGGGTTTGGGTTTTGGTTTGGGCTGGGTTTTTCCTTTTTTTCCAGAGAGGCGGAAAAATAAACGGCGGCCGTAAAGCCGCTTGGAATTTGACCCCCTAGTTGGAAAAACGCTGCGCGATATTTATCTTTCATAGGTACCTGCCATTTCCCATCGGCAGGACCCGGGTGCCTCTCGAAACCTCTGGCACGGGAAAAGGGGGGAAAAATACATATAAGTAGATATATATATACACAGAAGGAACATAAGCGTTGCCAGCATCCGAGGACGGATCGTATAGGATTTGTGAACTGGTGTGCATAAGCCTCCTCGCACGGAGGAGACAACAGGCACAAAGCGGAGCCCTCTCTGCACGCAAGGCTCTCCGGCGGCCGGGGCGGGGGACCCG